GCTCTTGATCAAACTACGGACTGTGCAAATATGATTTTTAAGCCAGCATTATATTCTTCAAATACCGTGGTATGTGAAATAAGTCCTTTATCTATAAACTGTACACCCTCCGATCCATATTAATTGTTGCTGATTTAGTACAAAGTTGTACTAAATCAGTGACAATTAAGATGGGAGTGTGTGAACTGAGTGCTACACATGAAAAGAGTAACAAATAGAATTACAAAACATTGGCAAAATTTTGAAAATAGAACATCTGCGTAGTTAGATAAATGACTCTTACATTAGTCTTATTTGGATCACCCTTACGTCCTGTTACGAGTTCAATGATTATAACTCCCAAGCTATACATGTCAACCTTTTTTGACATCTTCCCACAGTTCTCGTATTCTGGAGCACAGTATCCACTGCCGAAAAATTCCACATGTCGATGCATCATATCACAAAGAAATTGGAAAGAATAAATGTCGCAAAAGATAATGAGTTCTCTTGAACATAGCTTACTGTGTTATAAAACGGGTACCACTGGTATGTGTGATCTTAGCAAGTCTTGATAGACCAAAATCAGTTATCTTTGGCACCATATCATTGTCTAGCATTATATTACTAGGTTTGAGGTCCATATGGATAATGTTAATCTCCATATGAAGGTAACGCAAACCATGTAAAATCCCCTTGATTATTTCATACCGTACACTCCATTCAAGCCCTCTCAATTCATCTGCACAAGGAAAAAAGGAGGGCAGTGAAGTATAAAGAATGAAATGTTCGAACTAACATGCTAATTAGGTGTATACCTAGAAATGATATAAGATTTTTTTTTGTGGAAGTATGACGCTAAGAATTTGTACGAAACTGACATGAAATTTCCTGGTAAGATAAAAATGATAAGTAACATTGTCGTACCGGTAATATGTTTATCAAGGCTTCCATTGTTGATATACTCGAAACATAGTAACCTTTCTCTTTTCTGGACGAAAACGAAATCTGCTGATCCTGGAAATTGTATTGCTTCGCGGTGTGTATTTGAACAGAAGCCAAGAAAGCGGACTACATTCAGATGGCTAACTTTCATCAAGTTTTTAACCTCGCAATCAAAAAACCTGTCATCCACTGTGTGTTCACTCACAATTATCCTCTTCACGACAACAATACAATTTTGGAGCATGCCCTGTTAACAAGCATTTAGATGCGATCATTCTCATCCTTCTGGCACCAAAATGAAGACCCAGTACTATTCATTGAAATAGTAATATTTTACTTAACTTCAGATCATTAATTATATACTCTTACCTTGTAAACCTCCCCGAATCCGCCCTTGCCAATTTTTCTATTTTCAGAGAAGTTTTCAGTGATCTCCTGTAGAAGTGCTAATGCCAGATCCGTTGGTTTCTCGAGTCCGTAGAATATGCGCTCCAGGACATTTGTTTCACCCATTGTAAGTGTATTACTCTTGAAAACTAGAGAAAACAATTTTACTTTGTTTCAGACATGCATGCACTGGAGAAATCCACAACAGGTAATTACTTACCTACTTGAGATTTACCCAGTAGCCTTGTATTGATCTACAATGCACAAACTAGAACATTTTTTTTGAAAGATCCAGCAATCGCTGGCTTTTCATTGATTTAGCAGGAAGCAGTGATAAAACAGTTGTGGGGCGAAGATCCTAAGATCGCAAGTGCAGGGTTCGCCACAGGCGGCCGCAAACCCTAAGGCACGAAAGGGAAAAATCCTACTCTCTCATGGTGGTTCCCCAAAAGGGCTCTCAATGCATGAAGCTCCGGTGATCCTCCAAAGCTCGATGCCATCTCGGATGCGCCTGAGGATTTCTCTCACGCTTGGGATGCCGCGGCGGAAAGTGCATTTGTTCCTTTCTTGCCAAATCTCCCAGCATGCCAGCAGCAAGATCGACCGTGCGCCTTGCCGGTGAGGTGTGTCTGTGCGCGCTAGGATGGTTTGGACGATCGTGGTGGAGTTTCTGCTGCACCAGCTAGCTGCGGGAGAGAGCGAAGAGCAGCATTGCCATTGCCCGATCCTGCTCCAAACCTGCCTGGACTCCAGGCAATTCCAGAACAGGTGGCTCGAGGACTCGAGGCTTCTGACACAGAGTTGACAGAAGTAGGAATTCGGCCATCCCCGCCTCTGCAGCCTGTCATTGCACCAAAGCCTATCCCGCAGCAGCAACCACGCGAATATTTTGATCTTCCCTGGCGCCCAGGCCTTCCAGATTAGTTGGTCAAAGTTGGTGGCTATCCTTCCCTGGAACTGCACCCGGTATGCCAATTTGGCCGAATACGACCCCGTGCCTGATAGTTTCCAACTGATGGCATCTTGCTCCCCAGGCCGTGCCGGCGGTCCCGAGCGCTGCAGCTCGCGGTGCAGGCTTAGCACCTCACTAAGGAGGTGCTGGTTTTGCCCGTGAGCGAGATCGCGGATCCAAGTGTCGCCTTTCATTGCCTCCTGAACTGTTATGTGCTTGCGGCGGGAGTGGTTGAACAGCCGGGGGAAACGTTGTGACAGCGTTCCGTGCCCTAGCCATGGCGACAGCCAGAAAGAGGCCCGCGTCCCGTCTCCGATCGTTACCTTGGTCGATGCCGCGAAGAGGGCCATGTCTGCATCGTCGCATGGCAGTTCAGACCCCGCCCAGGGCCTTTCCGGGTGGTGCCATGCGATCCATAGCCAGCGCAGCCGAAGCGCTCTGCCAAAGCGCTCGAGGTCCGGGACGCTGAGGGCCCCCTACTCCGTTGGGGCACACACTGACGGCCAGTTCACCTTGCAGTTGGCCCCAGTTCACCTTGCAGCTGGCCCCAGTTCTCCAGAGGAACCGGCGCCTGCACTTGTCGATCTCCCTAAGAATCTTCTTCGGCAGGCGTAGCACGGTGAGCGCGAATGTTGGCATGGCGCTTAGAACGCAGCGGACCAACACACGACGCCCTGCCATCGGCAGCAGCCTGCCTTTCCAACCTGCAAGCCTCGCCTTGATACGGTCGATGATGAACTGGAGGTGGACGAGGCGTAGACGGCCCATGGTGATCGGTAGCCCTAGGTATCTGATGGTGAAGGGGGCGACAGGGCCAGCAAAATCTTGCAGCACCTCTGCCAAGTTGATGTTATCACAGCGGATGGGGGAGACGGTGGACTTGGCCAGGTTGATGCAGAGTCCTGTCGCCTTTCCAAAGTCATCGAGGATGCGCAGCAGGGAGTTCACCTCGCCATGGCTAGGGTTTACGAAGATCACGGCGGCGGCGGCGTAGAGGCTGACCCGGAGCACTAGATCGCGGCCTGGGAGGCGGTTGAGTAGCTGCTGGTCCACCGCGGTGGCAATGAGGTGGTGCAGCGGGTCGATCGCTAGGATGAAGAGGAAGGGGGACAGCGGGTCGCCCTGCCGCAAACCTCTGAAGTGCAGGAAACTAGGGCCTGCCATGCCGTTCAGAGCGACCGAAGAAGAAGCCGTGGCCAGAAGGCGCGCTACCCAGTCCCGCCAGCGAGCGCTAAACCCTAGTTTCTGCATACAAACTAGAACATCATGATACGAATTTATCGGGACTGCAGATGTATAAAAAAATCAAAACTTATCACTGAAACGCATGATGATGCAGTGGTGCACGTGAAGAGGAGTGTGTGTGTGTGTGTGTGTGTGTGTGTGTCTGCGCTCGCGCGCGTGTGCGTGCGTGCGTGCGTGCGGGGCAATGCTACACGTGCAAACAATTTACAGGCTTTTACAGGATGGTTAACCTTGATTGGTCAATAGGTGAGCGGGACGGCCCACCTCCCTGAAAATCAAGGGGGGAGGTTTGTGATTGGTTGTTAGATGGAAGGAGCGTGTAAAAGCGTGCAAGTCTTTGTATGTCTAGCATTTTTTATGCGTGCGTGTGCGCGCGCGCGTGCGTGCGTGTGTGTGAGTGTGTGTCTATTTTCAGAGAAGTTTAGCCTACGCTCTCCGGCCGGTGCTAATTAGGCGCGCGTCGTGTATAGAAAATGTTGAGGGTAACGTTGTGTGGAAAAAGAAGCAAGACATTTAATTATGTTACCATGTGCTGGTCCGCTACATCCCGATTTTTTAGGCCACTATTCATTGACCTGGTTTCCATCGACCTGGTGGTGTTTTAGTGCGATCAAGCCGAGAGCAGTCTTGTTATTGATGACAGTTCTGTGCACGCATCGAAAAGAATTCGTATCAAAGGAATTTGTATCCGTGTATATTCATGTCATCGATCCGGACAATTTCCGTTGCGACGCAAATGTTTCCATCAAACATGAATATAGTTTTTGTTACACAAAAAATGTTTCCAAAGTGTGTAAAAAATGCTACCACAAGGTTGAAATATTGCTTTGTTGAAATAAATATTTCTATCATATACTATCACATAATATGTTTCTCTTGAATGATGCTTCCATTGACAAAATATAAAGTTTCCACAGCACCTTGCGCTGCAGAAAAAAGATCTACATAAACCTTTATTTTGTTGGAAGAAAATTTCCTATTTTCTTGAAATTTTCTAGGAAGCATTAATTTCTGTATTTGTTTGTTTGGAAGCAATCACAACTTACCAGAAAACGAAAATGGAGTTTTTAACTTAATTTCTGGGAAGCATTAATTTCTTTATTTATTTGGTGCAAGCAAATGACGGCTTACCAAAAACAACAAAACATAGATTGCCGTAATTTCTGGGAACCAGTTTCTTATTGAGGAATACGTTGCATGCATGTTTCCTTGGATTAATCTGACGCTTCGAAAGATTTCAATCGTACGGCAAGGGGCTAGTTTGATGAAATGCTAACCATCAGTAGTTTGATTGCGCGAATCAACCTGTGGTTGAGTTGGTTAGGTGGACAATGGTATCCCCAACCCACCAGGGTTCAAATCCTGATGCTTGCATTATTCCTGAATTTATTTCAGAATTTCCGGCGATGCGCTTTCAATGGGAGAAGACGTTGAATAAATAAAGTAGTCTGATCGCTAGTGGTTCCCAAAGTTAAACTCTCACGTGTAGCTCTGTTGAAAACAATTTCAAGATGATTAATACCTTGAATAAATAAAGATGCAAAGAATGGTTTGAGGATGTGCACTAATCTATATACGAAAATGAACGCACGCAGGTCTCGCTAGACATGCATGTGAACTGAAATTGTGCAAATAAACAACAGTCGGGGTCTTTTTTTGCATGGTAATACATGTCATTCATATCATGAAAACAAAATACAAGTCGCGTAAAGACCGACATGACAAAACTGAAAAGACAGCAGAACATCGCCGAACTTAACACCAAGCCGTGTCACCCGCCTCCCGCACCACCACAGCAGCCACCAAAGTAAAAAAGGACGGATCACCTCCTCACACGAGCTCGATGCGGCTTCATCGCTGATAAGCAGCTTTGCGGACCTTCAAGGTGGCTCACTAAAAGTAAAATCATTGTCGTGGAACGAATCAGACCAGGGCAACACCCCGGACAAGCCGTCGAACTTCAGATCTGGCACCCCACCACGACTAAGACGTCGAATGAGGAAACCATACCTGCCATCCATCAACCACGAATCCAGCACACGTTTCGTTTTTCAGATGTAGTCGATGCAGACCGCAATCTGTGTCTGCTTTTGGACTACCTCCCAAGCTCCACACCGGCGTCGGAGCAAACGTCGTCGCAACAACGAAGCCCGAGGACACTGGTCCACCACGAGGATGATGCCGCCGCCACACCATCCTTGTTTGAACAGACTGATTTTCAAATTCATCCACAACCATAGGACCGAATGCCTCGTTGAGCACAGATCTGAACCTTCTTTATTCAACGTCACCATCGCCGCCTCCGAAGCGAAGACGATGAACAACCGAAAAAACAAAGCTACTAGGGCCTAACATAAAGCTACACGATCCACAAACGTAGATCCGGCGACCCCCCTCACCACCGACAACCAAGGTCGCCGGCGGAGGGGAGCCGCCGGAGGGAGTATCCTGGTGGCGGCTAGGGTTTTTAGTCGCAAGCCCAAGAGGAAAAGAGGAACTTGCAGCAGCAACGTGCGGCCAGCGCCTCCAGGAGATACGTTAAACCTGGGAAATAGAGAGAATTCCTTATTTGACACTCTCTTAAAATTGTGTTCCTTATTTGACACTGGAGAAAATTTTCTTCCCTATATGATCTCTAGTCTTAATTTTTTTTCCCTATATGACACTCTAGTGCATTTTGTTCACGTGAAAAGACCATTTTACCCGTATGTATAATGTGACCACAAATATGCTTTCGAAAAGTTTGTTGAATTAGGCCAGCCGGTAAAAAAATCAGGTCAAGTCTACTACGTTTAGGAATTTTCCCCTGGATAAGCGGCGGGGTGGGCGGACAGAGTCAGCCGGCTGGACAGCAACCGCAACACGGCCGGAGCCGGCTATGCTACCTCCCTCCCGGCCATCTACTCAGCCATCTACTCCAGAAGACAGC